TGTGTTCATCCAGCTCTACACCTTGTTATCTCAAGATTCTCTAGCATCTGCAGCTCCTACTATCTCTGAAGCAATTTATTACAATTATCTTAATAACTAGATTATTCCTTTAAGTAATTTTCGTATAAAGTTAATGTCTCAAATCCAGGACTTAAATCTTTAAATCAACAGCATAACTATTTTAATCTTTGTAATGTATACTACATATAATAATTAAGTCATTTTTGTCCTAACGATTGAATTATTGATTTAAGTTGGCCCACCGTAACATCGGATTTACGCACAACTCTCAAATTTGCCTAGCCCCTCAGCAGTGCAATGCTTGAGAACAGCAATAGCTTCACCATCATTAACCCGTATTTTGCTCTGCTAATGTTTCAGGTCAGTGAGATGCAGATGGGTTTGGAGAGGGAATTCCAGAGCATGGGATCACAACTCCAATAGCTAACTAAAATGCATAACAACACATTTATTTTAATCTTACCAAAAACAAAAACTAGAACGTTTTTCTCTTGGAAAATAAGAGCTGATTCTTGGATGTGTTTTAAACATGATCGATGCATACATGTTTAGGACAATAGACCTGTTGGATTTAATTGCCCAGTTCTGTGGTGTACATAGTATATAATACATGAATTAACCTATCAATCTCATATTGGCTGAATGTAGGAACAGGAAGCAGTTAATCCACTTCTTGAGCCTGTTCTACCACCCAATTAGATCATGATTCCATTTGTACCTTAGTACCCTCACTCCCAAAAACTCCATCTATTCCAGTCTGGAAATTCTCAACTGACACACCAAAACAGCATTTTAGGGGATTACAGTCCTAGGTTCCATGACACTTTCACAGAAAATGCTTACTTGTATCACCACTGATCAATCTAGATCTAATTTTAAGGTTAACCTCTCTCATTCTAGATTCCCAGCACCAGTCAATCTGTTTATCCTATTAATTCCATTAGCCACCTCTAACACATACATAACTTATTCTTACATTGAAATCTAACTGTATCCATTACATTCACTGAAAAGTTGCTGAAACCCACACAGATACAGTATCTTAGAACTCAGAAATAAACAAATCTCATCACAATGCACTGTTAACATACATTAGCAACATACCCACAGGTAAAATGCATGCTGGCAGGTACATCAGGCCATACCTTGATAATGATGTTGTCTCCACATGAAGATGCTGCTCCAGTGAGAAAGGTCATCGGACACAATGGGCAAACGATTCCGCCAAGTCTTCACCACAGTCTTCATGTCATGTAAACTTGTATTTCTCCCCAAATTGGCAGGCTGCAAACCAGCATTTATTTGAGCAGCTTCCTGCAGTTCAATAATTTGCTGAGCTGCCTACAATTTGAACAAAATTACATTAAGTTGCAATAAAAGGATGCAGTCTATCCTAATGTCAACCGTAAATATAGATGTACGAAGTACAGTGACAGAATTTACATCAAGCCTGAAGTGTTGTAAACAATCCAATTCAAAGGCATGCACAATAAATGGTAAAGGTTACCACCATCACTGATCATGCTGATATGTTAACAGCATGTACACAGCATGTGGTGACATTTGGCATCTACAAAACATTACACTGAAACCTGTCAATGATAAAACACTGGAGCTGCTGGAGACTTCTGCTTTAATCCTTTCGAAACTACAATAACAAATGGAAATTATAACAAATACAACTATAACAATTGCTAGCAACTTCCTGATGCAGTCCTTGTAATATAGCATTTGATGGCTAAATCCCCTATAAATTGCACGCAAGGAATTGTCTATTTATTTAATCAAGTCAATTATATTCTAACAGTATTGGTTCATTTATTTATATTCAAGGTAAATGTTACATGACAATATTCAATCTGAAACGTCTGCAGAACAAACCAGCTCGGCGAGCCAACCAACCACAATATTCAATCTAAATCCAATAACTTTCAATGTCTGTCCTGAATTAAGATGAAAACAGAAGTTGCTGGAAAAGCTCAGCAGGTCTGGCAGCATCTGTGAAGAAACATCAGAGTTAACATTTTGGGTCCAGTGACCCTCCCTCAGAACTGAATTAAGATGATCCTGGAATTTGGTGCTCATCACTGACACAAGTCAGGGCAAACAAAGCTACAGTTTTGCTCCCCATATTTATGAAAGGATATGCTGGCGCTGGGGGCTGTTCAAGAGAGATTCACTCACCCAATTCCAGGGATGAATGAGTTGACATATCAAGAACAACTAAACAATTTAGGCCTTTATTCATTAGTGTTTAAAAGCATGAGGAGTGATCTTATTGAAGTGCTCAAGATTCTGAGGGGGCTTGGCACGTTAGATTTTGAGAAGATGTTTCCAATATTGAGGGAGTCTTCAACTAGGGGACATAGTTACAAAATAAAGGGGCACGCATTTAAAACAAATGCAAAGGAGTTTCTTCATGGAGATTAGATCACTTAAAGTAATTAAGCATTGAAGTTTAAAATGAAGGTAAATAGATTTTTGGAATATCAGGAAGTTATTGACTATACTGAGCTGGAATGAAAGAGGAATGGAGGCCGGGGGCACATTAACCATGATCTTGCTGAATGGCTGCACAGGTTTGAGGGGGTCAAATGGCCTGTCCAGGCTCCTGTTCTTATCATAGAATTCCTGCAGTGTGAAAGCAGGCCATTCGGCCCATCGAGTCCATGCTGACCTTCCAAAGAGCATCCAACCAGACCCACCCCCCTACCCTATCCCTGTAACCCTGCATTACCCATGGCTAATCCACCCAGTTTGTACATCCCTGGACACTATGGACAGTTAAGGATGGCCAATCCACCTAACCTGCACATCTTTGGACTGTGGGAGGAAATCAGGGCATTCAGAGGAAACCCATGCTGGCACAGGGAGAACAGGCATACTCCACACAGACAGTTGCCCAAGGATGCAATCAAACCCAAGTCCCTGGCACTTAGGTAGCAGTGCTAACCTCTGTTCTTCCTATTTCCATATTGAGACATGCACTACATACCCATTACTCAATTTTGAGGCATGAAAATCCACCACTTTAAAAAGAGAGGGTCTTTTTTTCTTTAACATAGCTGAGCATTTACAATACAGTCACAGATAGGTAAGCAAGTAAAGCGAGTATTAAACAGTCAAGTTTCAGAGTGGTAAATTGTGTTGTATTACATCTTTAAACAATCACAATGTTATACAGTGCTTCAATTGATCAGAACAGTTGATGCTTTCTAATTTTAAGACTCTATGAAACAAGGTACATTAACATATTGTAATTTCTTTCTAATGAAGCTGACATTAAGTCCAGTTTTGAAAAAGAACACAAATTCCTACATGTACGCAGAGATTTACAAGTTTATCATATTACTATAAACTCCTAAACCCAGTGACGTCAGCATGGCACACTCACTTGAAGCAATGGCGTATGAACATGAGACACAATGTGGGGGAGTCTACGCCATTCTCGGATTGCGAGACTGCTGGCCATCTCTACCAGACGTTCGATAAAGTTGAGCTGCTGTTCCTCAGGGTGGCAAATAGCCAAATAGCCTCGGTACATGTTAACCTTCCATGCCATCTCCTTTGGGCAACTCAGCTCCACCTAAAATATTTAAAAGGATCACTGAGTTTACTACAACATTTCCTCCTTATAATGATGGTCAATGCAGATATAAAACTTTAAAGAGCATATGGCACGTTCAGAACATAGACGCTAACGTAAAGAGAAAACTTACTTAGGAGAGAAGAGATTTGAACAACATTCTGCACTATGTTTTCATGGAAAATTAGAGCCCTTCAACTCGCATTTGTGTGACTCTACAAGCCTCCAGACTCAGCAGTAATAATTACTTTTTAAAAACTTATTTTGAAGGTCCTTCGTCAAAAATGGTAACTGACAAGGCGACTAAATTCTGTACACTCTCAAAGCCCATCAAAAGGAGGGGGAATATAGTTGAATAAATACGGAGATATTATTTCCATCCACAGGAGGGTTAAATAAACAGAGGCTTCAAATTTCAGATAGTTGTCAAAAAGGGAGGAGAATACTTCTTTGGGCAGTTAAGAGCTGGAATGTACTTCTTGAAAGGATCTGTGTCAATTAAAAAGGAACTTTCAGAAGTGAATTTGAAATGTACTTCAAAGGGAATAAAAGAGGGACTAAACAAACAGTTCTATCAAAGAGCTAGCACTAATATGATGGGCCAAAAAGCCTCCTCCTACACAGTATGATTCCATAATGATGGATTTATGTGACAGTAAAGCAAGGTTATCAGTCTTGCAGGATCTTCGTTGATCTTTAAATGTGTCATGCTTCACAGAACAAACACCAATGACGAGTGGATAAGAGAGAGAGAAAACTAAAATTGCACAGACAAGGCTTCCTGAGAGATGGCAACTGAATGATTCTCCATGACTCAAAAATGTTGCTCTCCAGTATGAAGGTTATCTTTCACCCTTAAAAATATTTTGATTCTGACAAAATATCACAATATTTGACTGAGCAAAAGGGAAAAGGAATGCCTATGCAAATGGCTAATATACAACGGTCAGTCCTACAAGACAACTCTTTTTATGCTCTTTCTCCATGTAGATTACTGAAACATAACAGATTAAAATCAGACACTACTGGGGTTAAGGCACTGTTACACATGAGAGATTTTTAAATTACATAACTGGAGAGGTTGAAGCTTATGGGAGCAAAGATACATGAAGGACTAAATTTAGAATCCACAGGAGGATGCTACAACATTCTCAGGAGCATTAGACTTCTGGGCTCCAGGCACAAGATACATAAAATAAGCCATGACAAATGGGCACACATGTATATACAGATGCAATACCTTGAAAGCAAAATAATTCCTCAGAAATATTTTAGTACAGCAGTTTTCAAAGATCCCAGTACTCTCGAAACTGAAATCTATTGCAGCTCCTAATGTGTTGAGCTACCTCAACACAATAACATTCAAAGACAGTTGAGTTATGCTGGTGTAATAAAATGCACTGGTTACACTGCATTTGGAATAACATATTCACTTCTAGACACTGCACCTCAGGAAGGATATGACCTTGGAGCAGATGCAATGGAGATTTATTAGAATGATACAGGGGCTAAAAGGTGAAAATTATGTGGACAGATTTGAATACAAACCTAGCAATTTCATTGAGTATGGAACATTAAAGGTGATCTAACTACAGCATTTGACATGATCAAAGGATCTGATAGGGTAAATGCAAAAAATTTCCACCATAAGGGAGTCCATACTCAGTGAACGAAACTTCAAAGTTCGAGCTAGGCTGTTCAGGAGCATGTCAGAAAACCTTTGTTCAGAGAGGGGTGGGCAAATCTGGTTGAAGTCACTGCAGAAAAATATTGTATAAGGTATAACACTTATATTCTACCCGATCCCATATACATTCCAACTGAATGCTCAGTTAAAATTGCCCCCAACATATTTTGAAAGATAGAGGGGGCAAATACACAGGAACATAGTATGGAATCTCACAAGACATTAAGGATTAGACTTCAGTCTTTTGATTAGGCTGAGCTAGGTTAACAGAACATATAAAGAATACAGACGATCCATAGATATGCAAGATAACTGTTCTAGCATGTCTTTGCAAAAAAACTAAATGAAAGAAGTTTTTGCTGCTGTGGTACAAGTTCTCCTTTGAACCACATACCATTTAGCTCCAAAGAGTCTTTAGATGAATGTTGCTGGGAACAATAAGGTGCCCTGAACACTTTCCAAAAAGGAACTAACTGCTGTCTCCTTAAATAACAGAACATTCAAACATTTTCAAAATGATTTTAGCAAAATGCAAAGTCATTACGCGTCAATTCTCATCAGTTGTAATAAAACATGCCAGCTGTCATGGGCTACAGCTGATGAAATATAACCTCCCAAGAACTAATGGATGCGATGCCAAAAAGGCTGAATAAACAACAGGTGCTGAAAGTTTCTTGTGCAAAAACTCTCGCCTTTGTTCTGAACTTTCAATCATATAAATTAACAGAGGAAAATATATATTTACTGAAGTGTGTGTGTCCACTGTTAATAATATTGTGGACTGTGCAGGTTATCATCTCATTAATAACAATAGTACACTCTGTGTCACATGTTCTTTGTTAATCACCGATACACAAGGGAAACAGCAATAAATGCTGGGCTCCATCAACAATGCCCACATCCCATGAATACATTAATAAAAAATATCAGATGCTCCTCCACTTCAAAAGTCCTAAAATGTGTTTTCTTCCAGAAACTGTGCTTTATTTCTCAGATACTGGCACCATCATAAAAGACAAATTAGTAACAAGCAGATGTTCATGCAATTATTCAACAGCTGATCCATAAACACAATAAAGCAAAATTAAATGCAATCAATTGTCAGATGAGGAACAGGGAATCTGGGAACATTATGCTCCTTTAGGACAGAAGATTTCCACGTTTGAGGGGAGAAAAACAACCTGAGAGCACAACACTGACTATTCAGCAGTTCAGAAAGAAATACTGAGGATTGAATATCTGTATTCAATTATAGAAATAGAAGGAAATAGGCTCGATGCCGCAATTGATATCTGGGCCAACTGAAAACAAGCCATTGACAGTGTGCAGTTAGCACAAAGTCAGAGACTTTCTCTGCATGGGTCAGAAGGTCACACCAGTCACCCTACAGGCATTCTGTCAAGAAATCTTTTTTAAACTCAGCTGGGTGGCCAGCTGGTGCAAAAATCTCTCTGCCAAGAATGAGGGTCTTGACATGAAGTAGAAAATTGCACACACAAACCACTCTTCTCTACTAGCCCAAACAGAAGACAGAGACACTGAAGGAATATCCACCTCTTAAGTCTATGAAGTTATGTCGAGATCGGCAGAAGCATTTGGCCTCTTAGCACTGGCAACAAGCAACCTCACCCTTTCAGCCAGGGAGGTTTCCCAAAAATTGCAAATAGAAAGTATTGGATATTCAGACTTAGGGACAAGGGACTCAGAGTACCAGCAAACAATGGATGCAGAATTCGAGTGTTCATATAAAATAACCATTAAATAATTTCTTACCGTAACATCCAAAGAATTATTTAATCCAAACAAAGTTGCATTTAATACCATCAGCCAATCTAAGACTACATAAAAGAAGCACTTGACCTGCCCACACTGCTACTGTGAAGTTACCCACTAAGGTATAATCACTGAAAGCAAAGTACAGCCGCTTTACGATAGATATTTTGGAAGTAAATTATGGTAATTGAAGGAAAAGCAAAAAGGATTGGAAATATAAATTATTACAGAACATAAACTGGTGTATCCACTTCAAAAATTGCTTACCTGTACCAGTGCTTCCTTCATAGCAGCCCAGTTAGAAACTCTCCATGCACATTCCAATACCAGGTAAGGATTAACATGGCCTTTAGACTGACCATACTCAGTCAGCGCCTCCCACTGGTTCAGTTCCTTTGAGCAGCTGTTGATTATGAAACAAAATAACAGCAACATGTAGATTAGGCTCATGAGAAAGCAGCATCCTTGATTGGCTTCATAAACATGAACCCATTTAACATCTTTTCCATTATGGGCTGTGTATCAGGGAGGCGATGTCCTAGTGGTATTATTGCTGGACCGTTAATCCAGAGACCCAGATAACATTCTGGGGGCCCGGGTTCAAAGCTTGCACTGGCTGATGGTGGAATTTAAATTCAATAAAATATCTGGAATTAAGAATCTAATGATGACCATGAATTCTTTGTCGATTGTTAGGAAAAACCCATATGATTCACTAATGTCCTTTACAGAAGGAATTTGCCACCCTTGCCTGGTCTGGCCTACATGTGACTCCAGACCCACAGCAATGTAGGGACTGACTTTGAACTGCCCTCTGGGCAATTAGGATGGGCAATAAATGCTGCCTTGCCTATGATGCCCTCATCCTGTTAATGAATAAAAGAAAAAAAATTTCTGAACTATGGATGAAAACGTTGGTGTATATATCCTGCAATGCCAGTGAGGAATTTGGTTTCCGAAAGTGTTGGGAGAACCTCACATTTAAAGAACCTTAAAGCATACTAAGAGGACATTTGGTCTGTCATTCATACGATGGCTCTTCGAATGAGCAACTGAGTTAGTCCACAAACCTAAGTGCCAGAGATCTGAAATAAAAGCAGAAATTGCTGGAGAAACTGAGCTGGTCTGGCAGTATCTTTGGAAAGAAAGCAGAGCCAATGTTTCAGGTCACAGATCACAGAAGATCATAGAATCCCTAAAGTGTGGAAACAGGCCCTGCAGCCCAACGAGTCCGCACCGAACCTCAGAGCATCCCACTCAGACCCATAATCCACCTGACCTACACATTCCTGAACACTACAGGAAATTTAGCATTACCAATCCACTTAACCTGCACACCTTTGGACTGTGGGAGGAAACCGAAGCACCCGGAGGAAACCCACCAGACACAGGGAGAATGTGCAAACTCCACCTGCAAACCCAGGTCCCTGGTAGCAATGCTAACCACTGAGCCACTGTGCTGACCCAAAAAAGCATTTCATTTAGCAGTCCAGTGACCTTTCATCAGAACAAGCAGTAGCTGGTAATTCACAAACCTGCCTGGTCTCCACAATTACAATTGCAAAATTACAATCCCAGCTTCTCAAACCTCTCCACATAAATGAATCATCTCATCTCTAGTATCATTCTAGTAAACCCACTCTACAGGTGCTAAACCTTGCTAAAGGTAGCATGTCAAGAATTGGACATGGTTCTCCAGCTAAATGCAAGCAGGGATGTGGGAAAGATTAAGTGTAACATCATGCTGCATGACCAAAAATCACCACTGTAACAAGTATCCAAACAGAGCAACTCTGAGCCAAGGGAGGAAGTGAGAGATGAGGTTTTGGTTATGAGAACTCAAACTGCATTAGCCAGTGTTGCTGCTTAAAACCTTCATGCCAGCTAGGAAGGTAATATACTTACCGATTCCAGTGGTCCTCCCACAGCTGATACTCTGGAAATATGGCAGGTGATGCATTATTTCTTTCATTCTCTTTTCTGGCTTTATCCATTGCCTTCTCATAGGTTTCTTGTGCCTTCACAAAAATATAGACTCGATTACTCTAGAACCATGGTTGCAAACCAATATTAAAAAAATCTAAAATACAGCAAAACAATAGGTATGGTATTGTTTAATTTGCAAGCTGCTTTTCTCCACAAAAGGTATTCCCAAGAATTTCACAGCATAGATTCAGGCCAATCACTCATGCTAGTATTTAAGTCCAGATGAGGTCTTTGCCTCCAACTTCACCTCATCCTATCAGGGCATCTTTCTATTCTTTCATCCCCCACCTGTCTACACAGCAGGGAGCCAATTAGCTCAGTTGGCTAGAGGGCTGGTTTGTGACGCAGGATGACGCCAACAGTGTGCATTGAATTCCCGCACTGGCTGAAGGTACCATGAAGGATTCTCGTTTTCAACTTCTCCCAGCACCTGAGGTGTGGTGACCCTCAGGTTAAACCACCACCAGTCCTCTCTCTCTGATGAGAGAGTAACCCTATGGTGACTTTATCTCTTTGCTCACTTACCCAGCTTCCTCTATTTTCAAGTTAAAAATGTACAGAAAATCAAATGTGCTGAAGACCACGTGCACACATTTGTAAAGATCGAATGAATATACACACATTTTCTCTCGTCAGGGAGAGGCTTTCTCTTGCACTTTGCTGCTGCTAGAATGGTCTCCACAATATCAGAGATCTGATTTTATTTTAAAAAATGCAATTTCCCTCCCATGACCATAGATAATCAACATTTGTCATCTTCCTGAATGGCCACATATGACATACGAATTGGGTGGATCCATGAAGGAAAAAACTCTGCACCTCACATTCAAAATTACCAGTCACCTACTTACAGATGGCATACCTATCATGGCGTTGCCAGGGAAAACTACGGATTATCCATTGGCAACAAAAAATGTGTTCCAGGCTGCTATCTTCCATGATTAGTATTTCTTTACCATGACCACTCCCCTAAAGTTACTATGAGAAAATTACAACCTAAATTGGAATACCTGAACAAGTCATTAGTATGCATTAGGTAGAGTTTATAAAGCATTAACTGTGAAATGAAAGCAGATATCTCAACTGTTTGACATAGTATGAATCCCAAGACCCTCAAAAGTGTCTAAAAGACATACTTGCTCAAAGAAACCATGTTGCTCATACGCTATTGCTGTAGCAGTCTCAGGAAACTTGCATCGTTTTTGCCAAAGGCCAGCCCACATATCCTCCTCTTGCAATAGTGAGTACAATTCAGCCAGTGAATCTAAAATTTCCTGTGAACATAATTAAACCAGTACTGTGTAATTATAACTGTATCAGAGATAGTCGGAACTGCAGATGCTGGAGAATCCGAGATAACAAGGTGTAGAGCTGGATGAACACAGCAGGCCAAGCAGCATCAGAGGAGCAGGAAGGCTCCTTCCTGCTCCTATGATGCTGCTTGGCCTGCTGTGTTCATCCA